AAAAAAAAAAGGAGAAGCCGGGAGTGGTGGCTCAGGCCTGTAATCCTAGCACTTTGGGAGACCAAGGCGGGAGAATCACTTGAGGTCAGGAGTTTAAGACTAGCCTGGGGAAGATAGTGAGACTCTGTCTCTACAAAAAATAAAAAAAGTGAGTCAGGTGTGGGGGCATGTACCTCTGGCTACTACGCCCTGCTTATTTTTTGATTTATTGTAGAGATGAGGTCTGACCACATTGCCCAGGCTGCTCTTGAACCCCTGAGCTCAGGCAATCCTCTCACCTCTGCCTCTCAAAATGCTAGGATTACAAGCATGAGCCACTGCACCCAGCTTCTGTCCTTCCTTAATACTCTTTGCAGTTTTTTACCCATTACAATTTGAAAACCAAGCCTGGCGTGGTGACTTATGCCTATAATCCCAGCACTTTGGGAGGCGGAGGCGAGAGGATTATCTGAGCTCAGGGGTTCAAGAGCAGTCTGGGAAACTTGGTGAGACCTTGTCTCTACAATAAATCAAAAAAATTAACCAGGCAGGGTGACACATGCCTGTAGTTCCAGCTACTTGGAAGGCTGAGACGGAAGGGTCGCCTGAGCCCAGCAAGTAGAGGCTGCGGTGGCCGGGAGCAAGCCATTGCACTCCAGCTGGGGCAACAGAGACTCTGACCCAATCAATCAATCAATCAAATGAAAAATAAATAAGTACAATTAGCTGAGTGTTGTGGTGCATGCCTGTAGTCCCAGCTACTTGGGAGGCTGAGGCAGGAGGATTGCTTGAGCCCAGGAGTGTTTGAAGCTGCAGTGAGCCATGATTGTGCTGCTGTACTCCAGCCTGGGAAACAGAGTGAGACTCTGACTCAAAAGAAAAAAAAATTGCTGAACCTTGCAAAATCCAAATATTTGGAGGTCTGGTAGAGAAGGATAATTCAGGAAAGAGTTAAAAAGCAGCTTGTGCCGGGCTCGGGGGCTCAGCCTGTAATTCCGCGCCTTTGGGAGGCTGAGGTGAGTGGATTGCCTGAGCCCGTGGGTTCGAGACCCGCCTGGGCAGCGAGACCTCATCTCTACAATAAATAAAAAAATCAGCCGGGCGTGGTAGCGCATGCCTGTAATTCCGGCTACTTGGAAGCCTGAGGCGGAAGGTTCGCGACAGAGTGAGACTCCAACTCAAAAAAAAAGCAGCTTGTAAGGTAAGAAAATGAGTTATCTCAGAAGCCAAGTCAAGCAAATATTTCAAGATGGAGGGAGGGGTCAAACTGTCATATGCTGTGGAAAGACCAAGCAATATGAGGACTGAGAAGCGACCCATGGACTTGGCAATGTGGAAGGCAATAGTGACAGACAAAATTGCTTTTAGTGGATGCTAGGAGTGAGAATCCAGCAGGAAGAGATTCAGGAGAGTGGAGGTGAGCAAGAAATGATTGGCAGTGGAGAGGCGTGTAGGTTCCAGAGGAGTTTATTATAGCGATGGGGAGTACAAGTAGGGATTAACTACACAAGCAGGCTGCATGCAGGTGAAGTTTGGGCCTCCAACTGGTCCTCACTTCCCCCGGTTTAGGGCCAGATCCCCTTTGTGTTGTTGTGTGCACCCCCCTCCCCCGCAGCAGTGCCCAGTGACGGCTGTGCCTTCCCTTGTGCTGATGTAACTGGTGTTCAAGGCCCACTTGTGAGTGAGAACATGTAGTATTCTGTTCTTTGTTTCTGTGACAGATCACGAAGCTTGGTCTCCCTCCCCATCCAGTTTGCTGCAGAATCCATGATTTTGTTCTTCTTCATGGCTGTGTAATACTCTATCGTGTATGTGTACCACATTTTCTTTATCTAGTCCATTTTTAATAGACCGTGGGGTTGGTTCCATGCTTTTGCTATTGTGAATGGTGCAGCTATAAACACGCGTGTGCGTGTGTCTTTTTTGTATCATTTATCCTCCTCTAGATATATTCCAGGAGAGGTATTGCTGGATTGTATGGAAGATCAATTTTTAAGTTCTTTTAAGAATCGCCAGCCGGGCTCGGTAGCTCAGCCTTTGGGAGGCTGAGATGAGTGGATTGCCTGAGCCTGTGGGTTCGTGACCCACCTGAGCAGCTTGCTGAGACCTCATCTCTAAAATTTAAAAAAAAAAAAAAAAAAATATGCCGACCTCGGTGGCTCAGCCTATAATCCCGTGCCTTTGGGAGGTTGAGGTGAGTGGATTGCCTGAGCCCGCGGGTTCGAGACCCGCCTGGGCAACTCGGCGAGACCTCATCTCTACAATAAAGCAAAAAAATTAGCTGGGCGTGGTAGCGCGCGCCTGTAGTTCCAGCTACTTGGGAGGCTGAGGCGGAAGGATCACCAGAGCCCAGCAGGTCGAGGCTGCAGTGGCCGGGAGCGTGCCACCACACTCCAGTCTGGGTGACAGAGTGAGTCTCCAGCTCAAAAATAAAAAATAAAAAAAAGAATCGCTGGCAGAGCGCAGTGATTCATATCTGTAATTCCACAACTTTGGGAGGTCGAACTGAGAAGATTGCCTGAACCCAGTGGTTCAAGACCAGCCTGAGCAACTTGGCAAAACGTTGTCTCTACAATAAATCAGACAATTAGCCGGGCATGGTAGTGCACCTGTAGTTCCAACTACTTGGAAGGCTGAGGCGGAAGGATCGCTGGAGCCCAGCAGGTATGACCGGAAATTACACTTTCTCCTTGATGGCTCTTGAAATCAAGATGTCATGACTTTGATATAAGGGAAAAAAACCCAGCAACATCTATCATGACTAGCTGCAATCATGGTATCTGTGGGAGGATGAGACTTAAAAAGAAAGACACAATTTTTTTTTTTTTTTGAGTTGGAGTCTCACTCTGTCGCCCAGACTGGAGTGCAGTGGCTGGGGTGGCCGTGAGCATGCCATTGCCCTCTAGCCTAGGCAACAGAGTGAGACTCCAACTAAAAATATAAAGAATATATATATAAATAAAAAAAGGAAGAAGTTGAACTAGTCCAGGGGAGTTTTGTTGTTGCTGTTTTTGAGTTTGTCACCACAGTCTCTCCTGGGCTCAAATGATCCTACCCCCTCAGCCTCTCAAGTAGCTAGGACTACAGGCACACACCACCATGCTTGGCTGATTTTTTTGTTTGTTTGTTTTTGAGTTGGAGTCTCACTCAGTCACCCAGACTGGAGTGGAGTGGCACACTCCTGGCCACCGCAGCCTCCACCTGCTGGGCTCCGGCGATCCTTCCGCCTCAGCCTTCCAAGTAGCTGGAACTACAGGCACGCGTTACCACGC